GATGCCCCCCGCTGTGTTCTTTTTGCTTAGAGTTGACTTGGCTATGCGGGCTCTCTTTTAGTTCCATATGAAGTTCGTGGTGGTTTTCTCAAGTTCTGTGAAGAAAGTCAATGGTAGCTTGATGGGTTTGCGTTAATTCTGTAAATTACTTTGGGCAGTATAGCCATTTTTACAATATTAATTCTTCCTAACCATAAACATGGGATGTTTCTTCATCTGTTTGTGTCCTCTCTGATTTCGTTGAGCAGTGGTTTGTAGTTTTCCTTGAAGAGGTCCCTTACATTCCTTGTGAGTTGTATTCCAAGGTATTTTATTCTTTTTGTAGCAATTGTGAATGGCTGTTCGTTCTTGATTTGGCTTTCTTTAAGTCTGTTATTGGTGTAGAGGAAGGCTTGTGATTTTTGCACATTGATTTTATATCCTGAGACTTTGCTGAAGTTGCTTATCAGTTTCAGGAGTTTTTGGGCTGAGGCGATGGGGTCTTCTAGGTATACTATCATGTCGTCTGCAAATAGAGACAATTTGCCTTCCTCCTTTCCTATTTGAATATCCTTTATTTCTTTTTCTTGCCTGATTGCTATGGCTAGAACTTCCAGTACTATATTGAATAGGAGTGGTGAAAGAGGGCATCCTTGTCTAGTGCCGGATTTCAAAGGGAATGCTTCCAGTTTTTGCCCATTCAGTATGATATTGGCTGTTGGTTTGTCATAAATAGCTTTTATTACTTTGAGATACGTTCCATTGATACCGAGTTTATTGAGGGTTTTTAGCATAAAGGGCTGTTGAATTTTGTCAAATGCCTCCTCTGCGTCAATTGAGATAATCATGTGGTTTTTGTTTATGGTTCTGTTTATGTGGTGAATTACGTTTATAGACCTGTGTATGTTGAACCAGCCTTGCATCCCCAGGATGATTCCTACTTGATCATGATGAATAAGTTTCTTGATTTGCTGTTGCAATTGGCTTGCCAATATTTTATTGAAGATTTTTGCATCTATGTTCATCATGGATATTGGCCTGAAGTTTTCTTTTCTTGTTGGGTCTCTGCCAGGTTTTGGTATCAGGATGACATTGGTCTCATAGAATGATTTGGGGAAAATTCCTTCTTTTTGGATTATTTGGAATAGTTTCAGAAGGAATGGTACCAGCTTCTCTTTGTGTGTCTGGTAGAATTCGGCTGTGAACCCATCTGGACCTGGGCTTTTTTTGTGTGGTAGGCTCTTAATTGCTGCCTCGACTTCTGCCCTTGTTATTGGTCTATTCATAGTTTCCTTCCTCCTGGTTTAGGCTTGGGAGGACACAGGAGTCCAGGAATTTATCCATTTCTTCCAGGTTTACTAGTTTATGTGCATAGAGTTGTTTGTAATATTCTCTGATGATGGTTTGAATTTCTGTGGAATCTGTGGTGATTTCCCCTTTATCATTTTTTATTGCATCTATTTGGTTGTTCTCTCTTTTCTTTTTAATCAATCTAGCTAGTGGTCTGTCTATTTTGTTGATCTTTTCAAAAAACCAGCTCTTGGGTTTATTGATTTTTTGGAGAGTTTTTCGTGTCTCTATCTCCTTCAGTTCAGCTCTGATCTTAGTTATTTCTTGTCTTCTGCTGGGTTTTGTGTTTTTTTGATCTTGCTCCTCTAGCTCTTTCAATTTTGACGATAGGGTGTCAATTTTGGATCTCTCCTTTCTTCTCATATGGGCACTTATTGCTATATACTTTCCTCTAGAGACTGCTTTAAATGTGTCCCAGAGATTCTGGCATGTTGTGTCTTCGTTCTCGTTCATTTCAAAAAACTTCTTTATTTCTGCCTTCATTTCATTGTTTATCCAGTCAACATTCAAGAGCCAGTTGTTCAGTTTCCACGAAGCTGTGCGGTTCTGGGTTGGTTTCTGAAATCTGAGTTCTAACTTGATTGCACTATGGTCTCAAAGACTGTTTGTTATGATTTCAGTTGTTTTGCATTTGCTGAGCAGTGCTTTACTTCCAATTATGTGGTCAATTTTAGAGTAGGTGTGATGTGGTGCTGAGAAGAATGTATATTCTGTGGTTTTGGCGTGGAGAGTTCTGTAAATGTCTCTCAGGTTTGCTTGCTCCAGGTCTGAGTTCAAGCCCTGGATTTCCTTGTTGATTTTCTGTCTGTTTGATCTGTCTAATATTGACAGTGGGGTGTTAAAGTCTCCCACTATAATTGTGTGGGAGTCTAAGTCTCTTTGTAAGTCATTAAGAACTTGCCTTATGTATCTGGGTGCTCCTGTATTGGGTCCATATATGTTTAGGATCGTTAGCTCTTCTTGTTGTATCGATCCTTTTACCATTACGTAATGGCCTTCTTTGTCTCTTTTGATCTTTGTTGCTTTAAAGTCTATTTTATCAGAGATGAGAATTGCAACTCCTTCTTTTTTTTGCTCTCCATTTGCTTGGTAAATCTTCCTCCATCCCTTTATTTTGAGCCTTTGTGTATCCTTGCATGTGAGATGGGTTTCCTGGATACAGCACACTGATGGGTTTTGGATTTTTATCCAATTTGCCAGTGTGTGTCTTTTGATTGGTGCATTTAGTCCATTTACATTTAGGGTTAGTATTGTTATGTGTGAATTTGATACTGCCATTTTGATGCCAGCTGGCTCTTTTGCCCGTTAGTTTTTGTAGATTCTTCATTATGTTGATGCTCCTTAGCAATTAGTGTGATTTTGGAATGGTTGGTATTGGTTGTTCCTTTCTATGTGTAGTGCCTCTTTCAGGAGCTCTTGTAACGCAGGCCTGGTGGTGACAAAATCTCTGAGTACTTGCTTGTTCACAAAGGATTTTATTTTTCCTTCACTTCTGAAGCTCAGTTTGGCTGGATATGAAATTGTGTTGAAAGTTGTTTTCTTTAAGGATGTTGAATATTGGCCCCCACTCTCTTGTGGCTTGTAGAGTTTCTGCCGAGAGATCTGCTGAGTCTGATGGGCTTCCCTTTGTGGGTGGAAAAGTAGTGTTCTAAACAATATCGGGATACAGGGAAGAAAGGGCTTTCCTCCCACCGCAGCACGCTTTCATGTGCACAGTCAACTCTTTCTGCACAGGGGGTGTGCGAGGCTCTCCTTTCTGGAGGTCCTCAGATCTGGGTTGTCCAAACATTTGCAAACCTGACTGTGGTTTTCCATTAAAATAGAGTGAGTATTGGATTATCTGAGAGTGGTTAGGATGGGAGCAGGTTCCTCAGCAGTTGTGGCGGGCAGAGCACTGGGCATGTGCGGTTTGGCCATTGCACATAGTCACTCTGCAACCCTCTTCAGTATAGGGTAGGGCACAGCAGGATGCGAAGACACGGAGACCTAGGTTACCTCATCACAAACATACTTCAGCCTTTGAACTCCAACCCATGAAACATTTCTAGATATTGCTTTCTTACAAAACTGTTGCAACATTTTAAATGTGATTATTATTCAAAAGTCAACATGTTTACTTCATTTAAGGTTTTGCTACATTTTTTTCAAGGACAGTTTTAACAAGCTCGCTGGTCTTGGCTTGGACTTGGGTATCCTGGCACACGTGTCCAGCAAATGTGGGGTTCCAGCACAGCCGCCGTGGGGAAGCCGGGGAACAGGGGCCTCAGAACGAACAGCGCCCGGTCCGCCGTGGCAAGCGAGGAGGCACCTCCCTAAAGGAAGCCTGCATCCAGAATCCTAAATCCCGCGACAGGGAGCCTCCCTGCGGCCTTCCCAGCAGCTTCGCTTAGGAGGGTCATGAGTTTCTCCAAGTAATCTGAAGCCCACCAGGGCCCCGACCCTTCCATCCTAGGGGACAGCTTCCCCAGTGGAAGCGCAGGCACTGGCAGGAAGAAGTAGCTGGGAGGGCAGAAGGAGGCACCGCAAGTTTTATCCACCTCTGTGCGACTGCAAGGGACCAACACGCTACGAGTGCTGCCCGCGAGGTTCCAGTTAGGCACCAGCAGTCGTGGTTGTGGGGCGGGGCCTGGGGCTGCAGGGTGGAGCCTCCGAGGCCAGGATTGCAGGCAGATGCGGTGCTGTGGGGGGCAGAGGCGGGGCAGAGAGGTGGGGCTGTAGGAGCGGAGGCGGGGCTGTGGGGCGGGGCTGAAGTGGCAAAGGTGGGGCTTCGGGGGCGAAGCTGCAGAGGTGGAGGCGGGGCTGGGGGGACGCTGAAAAGATGCACATGGGGCCGCCGGGCCTCAGGGCCTCAGTCTAGGGGTGGGACCACTGGGGCGGGGCTACGAAGTTGGTCTCCCCACTCTACCAGTGGGATATTCAAGAGAACCCACATACCCAATAAGAGTTCCACATAAAGAATAAAGCAGAGATGGAGACCTTATAAAAAAAATACTGATAGTCAAAAGTTCCTGGAAGCAAATCTAGAAATTTCCCATTGAAAGGGCCTGGAATTACGGACTCTAACATGATTCAAACCATAAAATAAGAACACAAAATTTCAGATCACTGGAGACAAAGTAAAGATCCTACAAGAATCCCAAGAGCAAACTAAAATGAATCAGTTGATACACAAAGAATCTGGAGCCAGAATGGGTTCAGACTTCAATAGCAACACTAAAAACCAGAGACCTAAAAAGCCTTTGAAATTGTGAAGGCAAGTAATTCCAAGGTAAAATTCAATACAACAAATATTTTCAAATTTGCAAAGTCTCCACAAACTTACTTCCCAGACATCATGTCTCAGGGAGGTACTGAAAGATGTAAACATGGTCCTTCAGAATGGAGATCAAGGTGAACAGAGGCCTCAGAATGCCACTGTGTACCAGATGAGAGTAGGCCCCAAAGCTCAAAGGGAGAAGAAAATTCAAAGACTGAAAACATTTGAGTCTTTTTATTTTTATTATTTTTTATTGCATTTTAGGTTTTGGGGCACATGTGCAGAACATGCAAGACAGTTGCATAGGTACACACATGGCAGTGTGTTTTGCTTCCTTTCTCCCCTTCACCCACATTTGGCATTTCTCCCCAGGCTATCCCTCCCCACCACCCCTCCCACTTGCCCTCCCCTTTTCCCCCCAATAAAACCCAGTGTTTAGTACTCCCCTCCCTGTGCCCATGTGTTCTCATTTTTCATCACCCGCCTATGAGTGAAATATGCGGTGTTTCATTTTCTGTTCTTGTGTCAGTTTGCTGAGAATGATGTTCTCCAGATTCATCCATGTCCCTACAAATGACACAAACTCATCATTTCTGATTGCTGCATAATATTCCATGGTGTATATGTGCCACATTTTTCCAATCCAGTCTATCATCAATGGGCATTTGGGTTGATTCCAGGTCTTTGCTATTGTAAATAGTGCTGCAATGAACATTTGTGTGCATGTGTCCTTATAGTAGAACGATTTATATTCCTTTGGATATATACCCAGCGGAGTTTCTATTTCTAAGGCCTTGAGGAAGACACACTGTCTTCCACAATGGTTGAACTAATTTACACTCACACCAACAGTGTAAAAGTGTTCCTTTTTCTCCACATCCTCTCCAGCATCTGTTGTCTCCAGATTTGGTAATGATCGCCATTCTAACTGGCGTGAGATGGTATCTCAATGTGGTTTTGATTTGCATCTCTCTGATGACCAGTGACGATGAACATTTTTTCATATGATTGTTGGCCTCATATATGTCTTCTTTCATAAAGTGTCTTTTCATATCCTTTGCCCAATTTTGAATGGGCTTGTTTTTTTCCTGTAAATCTGTTTGAGTTCTTTGTAAATTCTGGATATCAGCCCTTTGTCAGATGGGTAAACTGCAACAATTTTATCCCATTCTGTTGCTTGCCGATTCACTCTAGTGACTGTTTCTTTTGCCGTGCAGAAGCTGTGGAATTTCATTAGGTCCCATTTGTCTATTTTGGCTTTTGTTGCCAATGCTTTTGGTGTTTTGTTCATGAAGTCCTTGACTACTCCTATGTCCTGGATGGTTTTGCCTAGACTTTCTTATAGGGTTTTTTTGGTGCCAGGTCTTATGTTTAAGTCTTTAATCCATCTGGAGTTAATTTTAGTGTAAGGTGTCAGGAAGGGGTCAGGAAGAGGTCCAGTTTCTGCTTTCTGCACGTGCCTAGCCAGTTTTCCCAACACCATTTGTTAAACAGGGAATCCTTTCCCCATTGCTTGTTTTTGTCAGGTTTATCAAAGATTGTATGGTTGTAGGTATGTTGTGTTGCCTCTGATGCCTGTTTTGTTCCATTGGTCTATATCTCTGTTTTGGTACCAGTACCATGCTGTTTTGATTACTGTAGCCTTGTAGTATAGTTTGAGATCCGGTAGTGTGATGCCCCCCCTGTGTTCTTTTTGCTTAGAATTGACTTGGCTATGCAGGCTCTCTTTTGGTTCCATATGAAGTTCATGGTGGTTTTTTCCAATTCTGTAAAGAAAGTCAATGGTAGCTTGATGGGGATAGCATTGATTCTGTAAATTACTTTGGGCAGTATAGCCATTTTCATGATATTAATTCTTCCTAACCATGAACATGGGATGTTTCTCCATCTGTTCGTGTCCTCTCTGATTTCATTGAGCAGTGGTTTGTAGTTTTCCTTGAAGAGGTCTCTTACGTTCCTTGTGAGTTGTATTCCAAGGTATTTTATTGCTTTTGTAGCAATTGTGAATGGCAGTTCGTTCTTGATTTGGCTCTCTTTAAGACTGTTATTAGTGTAGAGGAAGGCTTGTAATTTTTGCACATTGATTTTATATCCTGAGACTTTGCTGAAGTTGCTTATTAGTTTCAGTAGTTTTTGGGCTGAGGCGATGGGGTCTTCTAGGTATACTACCATGTCGTCTGCAAATAGAAACAATTTGGCTTCCACCTTTCCTATTTGAATACCCTCTATTTATTTTTCTTGCCTGATTGCTATGGCTAGAACTTCCAGTACTATATTGAATAGGAGTGGTGAAAGAGGGCTAGAACTTCCAGTACTATATTGAATAGGAGTGGTGAAAGAGGGTATCCTTGTCCAGTGCCGGATTTCAAAGGGAATGCTTCCAGTTTTTGCCCATTCAGTATGATATTGGCTGTTGATTTGTCATAAATAGCTTTTATTACTTTGAGATACATTCCATCAATACCGAGTTTATTGAGGGTTTTTAGCATAAAGGGCTGTTGAATTTTGTCAAATGCCTTCTCTGCGTCAACTGAGATAATCATGTGGTTTTTGTTTTTGGTTCTGTTTATGTGGTGAATTACGTTTATAGACTTGTGTATGTTGAACCAGCCTTGCATCCCCAGGATGATTCCTACTTGATCATGATGGATAAGTTTTTTGATGTGCTGTTGCAGCCAGTTTGCCAGTATTTTATAGAAGATTTTTGCATCTATGTTCATCAAGAATATTGGCCTGAATTTTTCTTTTCTTGTTGAGTCTCTGCCGGGTTTTGGAATCAGAATGATGTTGGTCTCATACAATGATTTGGGAAGGATTCCCTCTTTTTGGATTATTTGGAATAGTTTCAGAAGGAATGGTACCAGCTCGTCTTTGTGTGTCTGGTAGAATTCGGCTGTGAACCCATCTGGACCTGGGCTTTATTTGTGTGGTAGGCTCTTAACTGCTGCCTCGACTTCAGACCTTGTTATTGGTCTATTCATAGTTTCGGCTTTCTCCTGATTTAGACTCGGGAGGACACAGGTGTCCAGGAATTTATCCATTTCTTCCAGGTTTACTAGTTTATGTGCATAGAGTTGTTATTATTCTCTAATGATGGTTTGAATTTCTGTGGAATCTGTGGTGATTTTCCCTTTATCGTTTTTTATTGCATCTATTTGGTTGTTCTCTCTTTTCTTTTTAATCAATCTGGCTAGTGGTCTGTCTATTTTGTTGATCTTTTCAAAAAACCAGCTCTTGGATTTATTGATTTTTTGAAGGGTTTTTCGTGTCTCTATCTCCTTCAGTTCAGCTCTGATCTTAGTTATTTCTTGTCTTCTACTAGGTTTTGAGTTTTTTTTATCTTGCTCCTCTAGCTCTTTTAATTTTGACGATAAGGTGTCAATTTTAGATCTCTCCACTCTTCTCATGTGGGCCCTTATTGCTATATATTTTCCTCTAGAGACTGCTTTAAATGTGTCCCAGAGGTTCTGGTATGTTGTGTCTTCATTCTCGTTGGTTTCAAAGAACTTCTTTATTTCTGCCTTCATTTCCTTGTTTATCCAATCAACATTCAAGAGCCAGTTGTTCAGTTTCCATGACGCTGTGTGGTTTAAATTAGTTTCTGAAATCTGAGTTCTAACTTGATTGCCCTATGGTCTGAGAGACTGTTTGTTATGATTTCAGTTGTTTTGCATTTGCTGAGCAGTGCTTTACTTCCAATTATGTGGTCAATTTTTGAGTAGGTGTGATGTGGTGCTGAGAAGAATGTATATTATGTGGTTTTGGGGTGGAGAGTTCTGTAAATGTGTATCAGGTTTGCTTGTTCCAGGTCTGAGTTCAAGCCCTTGAGATCCTTGTTAATTTTCTGTCTGGTTGATCTAATATTGACAGTGGGGTGTTAAAGTCTCCCACTATTATTGTGTGGGAGTCTAAGTCTCTTTGTAAGTCATTAAGAACTTGCCTTCTGTATCTGGGTGCTCCTGTATTGTGTCCATATATGTTTAGGATCGTTAGCTCTTCTTATTGTATCGATCTTTTTACCATTATGTAATGGCCTTCTTTGTCTCTTCTGATCTTTGTTGCTTTAAAGTCTATTTTATCAGAGATGAGAATTGCAACTCCTGCTTTTTTTTTTCCTCTCCAGTTGCTTGGTAAATCTTTCTTTATCCCTTTATTTTGAGCCTTTCTGTATCCTTACATGTGAGATGGGTTTCCTGGATACAGCACACCAATGGGTTTTGTTTTTTTATCCAATTTGCCAGTGTGTGGCTTTTGATTGGTGCATTTAGCCTGTTTACATTTAGGGTTAATATTGTTATGTGTGAATTTGATACTGCCATTTTGATGCTAGCTGGCTGTTTTGCCCGTTATTTAATGCAGATTCTTCTTTTTGTTGATGCTCTTTAGCGTTCGGTATGTTTTTAGAATGGTTCATACTGGTTGTTCCTTTCTATGTGCTTCTTTCAGGAGCTCTTGTCAAGCAGGCCTGGTGGTAACAAAATCTCTGAGTACTTGCTTGTTTGCAAAGGATTTTATTTTCCCTTCACTTATGAAGCTCAGATTGGCTGAATATGAGATTGTCGGTTGAAAGTTCTTTAAGGATGCTGAATATTGGCTCCTACTCTCTTCTGGCTTGTAGAGTTTCTGCTGAGAGATCTGCTGTGAGTCTGATGGGCTTCCCTTTGTGGGTGACCCGACCTTTTTCTCTGGCTGCCCTTAGTATTTTGTCCTTCATTTCAACCCTGGTGAATATGCTGATTATGTGCCTTGGGATTGCTCTTCTTGCGGAATATCTTTGTGGTGTTCTCTGTATTTCCTGGACTTGAAATATTGGCCTGTCATGCTAGGTTGGGGAAATTTTCCTGGATAATATCCTGAAGAGTATTTTCCAGCTTGGATTCATTCTCTTTGTCACATTCTGGTACACCTATCAAACATAGATTAGGTCTCTTTACATAGTTCCACATTTGTTGGATACTTTGTTGATTCCTTTTTGCACTTTTTTCTCTAATCTTGCTTTCTCATTTTATTTCATTGAGTTGATCTTCGACTTCTGATATTCTTTCTTCTGCTTGGTCAATTCAGCTGTTGAAACTTGTGCATGCTTTGTGAAGTTCTCATGTTGTGTTTTTCAGCTCCTTCAATTCATTCATATTCCTCTCTACGTTGTCCATTCTTGTTATCATTTCCTCTAATCTTTTTTCAAATCTTTTTTCAAGGTTCTTAGTTTCTTTGCATTGATTTAGAGCATGTTCTTTTAGCTCACAGACGTTTCTCATTATCTACCTTCTGAAGTCTGATTCCGTCATTTCATCACACTCATTCTCCATCCACCTCTGTTCCCTTGCTGGTGAGGAGTTTTGGTCCCTTGTAGGAGGCAAGGTGTTTTGGGTTTCGGGTGTTTTCCTCCTTTTTGCGCTGGTTTCTTCCCATCTTTGTGGATTTATCCACCTGTCGTCTGAGTAGTTGCTGGCTTTTTGATTGGGTCTCTGAGTGTACGCCCAGATTGTTGATGCTGAAGTATTTCTGTTACTTAGTTTTTCCTTTTAACAGTCTAGCCCCTCTGCTGTACAACTGCTGAGGTGCACTCTAGTCCCTGCTGTTGTGGGCTCCGCCCTGCTGCTGTGGGCTTTGCCCTGCTGCTGTGGGCTCCGCCCTTCTGTCCTGGGCTCCACCCTGTTGCCCGTGGGCTCTGCCCTGTTGTCATGGGCTCTGCCCTGTTGGCAGTCTCTCTGTTATGGCGGGTTGCCTTGGCAATGGCAGGCTGCGTGAGCAATGGGCATGTACCTCAGTAGGGGCGGAATGCGTCAGTAGTGGCAGATGCCCTTCCCCCACGGAGCTTCACTGTCCTGCATTCATCTGTGCCCGCAGTGAAACTCTCAACCCCGAGCGTTCTGATTCTCCGTTTTGTTTGTCCCTGTGGGGGTGGGACATGCCGAGCCTGATCACCTGGCTCCCTGCCTCAGAGCCCTTTCTCCCTATTTTTTTTTAAGTTGAACGAATGACTCTCTCCCAGGTGTTTTAGTCGCCTGCTGGCAGGGCACCGAAATCTGTGTGATTTCCCTTGCAGGAGCCCACTGCACTGGCTCAAATGTCATTTCCCGGAAATCTCCTTGTCTGGCTCATCTGCCCTCCCAAATCTCAGATTGCCGGTTTAACAGGGCACCCAGATCAGCGCATTTTGTGCGGGGTGCCGCTGCACTGTGGCTCCATCTGAAACGGCCCGCAGAAGCCAAGAGGGCTGCACTGGCTTCCCATGACTCTCCTGCACCTGGAAATTTCCCCATTCTGTGGGCAACAAAGATCCATCTGGAAATGCAGCTAGGACTCACCCTCTGTGCCTTCACTGAGAGCTGCAATCCTGAGTTGTTCCTACCGTGCCATCTTTGAAAGGAAGGATTTTGAATTAACCCAATCGAATAAAAAGAAAGAACAAATAATTTTTAAAAATTAACAAAGCCGGGAGCCCACTCAAGCTTCACCGCAGAGGGGAAGGTTCTGGAATGGGAGTCATATATATTTTAAATAGCTGGACATGCCTATAGTCCCAGCACTTTGGGAAGCTGAGGTGGGTAGATCATTTGAGTTCAGGAGTTTGAGACCAGCCTGAGCAACATGGCAAAACCATGTGTCTACCAAAAAATTTTTTAAAAAAATACACACACACAAAGGCTGAGTGTGGGTGTGATGGCTCATGCCTGTAACCCAAGCACTTTGGGATGCTAAGGCAGGTGGATCACTTGAAATCAGGAGTTTGAGACCAGCTTGGTCAACACAGTGAAACCTCATTTCTACTAAAACTACAAAAATTTGCATGGTGGCACACACTTGTTATCCAAACTGCTCAGAGGGCTGAGGCAAGAGAGTCAATTGAACCTAGGATGCAGAAGTTGTGGTGAGCCGAGATCACACCACTGCATTCTAGCTTGGGTGACAGAGTTAGACTCCATCTCAAGAAAAGAAATGCAGATTCTGATGCAGAAAGCCTGAATTAGGGCCTACTGTGCTGGCCAGTGCTGCTGGCCAAGGTGGACCACACTTTGAGGAGCAAAGTTTGGGCAAGGGGACAGAAGTGATCAACATTAGAACTGTTTAAAGAAAAATGCTGCCAGGCGCAGGGGCTCACACCTGTAATCCCAACACTTTGGGAGGCTGAAGCGGGTGAATCACCCGAGGTTGGGAGTTTGAGACCGGCCTGACCAACATGGAGAAACCCCATCTCTACTAAAAATATAAAATTAGCTGGGCAAAGTGGTGCATGCCTGTAATACCAGGTACTTGGGAGGCTGAGGCAGGAGAATTGCTTGAACCTGGGAGGCTGAATTTGTGGTGAGCTGAGATCATGCCATTGCACTCCAGCACAGAGGGCAATAAGAGCGAAACTCTGTGTCAAAAAAAAGAAAAAAAAACAACTCTAGACAAATTAAATTCAACAGAAGGTAATTGAACAAAGACTGATTCCTTTAAAAAATTGCTTTTAGAGATGGGCCTCACTCTGTTGCACAGGCTGGAGTGCAGTGGCACAGTCATAGCTCACCACAGCCTCAAACTCCTGGGTTCAAGGGACCCTCCTGAGTGGCTAGAACCACATGACACATGTGATGTTTCCCAGATTTCATTTATTTATTTATTTTCATGTTGTTATATTGCCCATGCTGATCTCAAACTCCTGGCCTCAAGCCATCCTACTGCCTTAGCCTCCCAAAGTGCTGAGATTATAGATGTGAGCCTCCATGCCCAGACTAAAGAACAGTTCCTGAATCAGGTGGCTCTGGGAACAAGCAGAGCTTTAGAAAGCTCCACTCTGCAATGTAGGCAGGGATCACTTATAGAAAACAGAAGTGAGGTGTGAAAAACAGCTTGATTGGTTACAGCTCAGTATTGAGACATGGTCTGATCAGTTGGTAGCCTGTAACTAACTGAAGATCAGCTGCTGTGCTTGGCTGAGACTCAGCTATCTGTTACAAAACCTCTATATTAGGCCTTTGGTTTATCTGCTGAAGTCAGGTTGCAGTTCTTTCAGTAGGAACTCAAGGTATGGAGGCAGTCTCTGGCCAAATTTAGTTTAATTTATTAGGAACTTTAGTAACACCTGAGGTCCTATTAGGGTAGGAGGGGGATTAAAAAGAGGCTCTGAAGGAGCCTGGAGGTGAGAGGGGACTTGACCTGAGAAGGTCCTTGGAGAACCAGGACAGTGTTGTTGGAAAAGATACTATAAAAGCATGTTTTTTTTTTCTTTTTGAACAAGAGTCTTGCTCTGTCGCCAAGGTCGGAGTGCAGTGGTGCGATCTCAGCTCACTGCAACCCCTGCCTCTCAGGTTCAAGTGATTCTCCTGCATCACCCTCCCACGTTGTTGGGATTACAGGTGCACCAACAAGCCCAGGTAATTTTGGGTTCTTAGTAGAGACAAAGTTTTGCCATCGTGGACAGGCTGATCTCAAACTCCTGACCTCATGTAATCCACCCCACTCAGTCTCTCAGTGCTGAGATTACAGGCGTGAGCTAATGTACCCGGCCTATAAAAGCATTTCAAGGCAAAATTGTCAACAGCAATACAAGCTAAGAGATGATAAGGGGCCCTGCTGGTTTCTCAATTAAGAGGCTACTACAGGCTGGGTATGGTAACTAGCACCTGTAATCCCAGCACTTTGGGAGGCCAATAGAGTGGATCATGAGGTCAGGAGATCGAGACCATCCTGGCCAACATGGTGAAACTCTGTCTCTACTAAAATACAAAAATATCTAACTGGGCATGTGGCCCTCGCCTGTAGTCCCAGCTACTCGGGAGGCTGAGGCAGGGGAATTGCTTGAACCTGGGAGGTGAGATTGCAGTGAGCTGAGATTGGGCCACTGTACTCCAGCCTGGGTGACAGAGCAAGACTCCATGTCAAAAAAAAAATAGGCGACTACAAGTAAAAAAGAATAAAAAGCTACTGATCAATATATCATGAATATGGTTTCTGTGAATAATAGAAGCTGAAATATTTAATAATGTTGGGGTGTAGAGAGTGAATAGGGAAAGTGGAGCTAATCTCTTTTTCTAGAAAGAGAGAAAGTGGGGCAGGGGTGGTTTATAGGGAAGTTGTTTGGTTTGGTTTTGCAGGTGTGACACCAGAAGCTCTGGAGTTATACTGAAAGGGAAAGGGATGAGGGAGAAATTGACCCAGAGAATGTGGGTGGTTTCTTGTCTCCTAAATAAACAAACATGTTTACTGAATGTCTGCAGTGTGGCAGCTCCAGGAATAAACAGGACACAGCCTTGAGCTTCAAGTTCTTGACTACTAAGGGAACTTTGTGCCTCTCCTGTGAAACATGGGCTTTGCGATGAATAATCTTTTCTATATGAGGCCTAATTCAAGAAAGATACACATGTATCTGGTCACCAGTTTTCCTCACAGTGGAAATATTTTCATTTCTCCATCACTGGAGAGTACAATTGTTAGCCTAAAATTCCAAAACAGCACCATACTGTTAGAGTAGGTAGTCAGGCAGATATGAGCAGAGCAGGAGAGGACTCCCCTCCCTCTAGGAATGTCAGGTGATGGGTCAGGCAACCATCAGGTGATGATCAGGCAGTTGTTAAACTGTTTCTCAAAAATAATAATTGGACCGGGCGTGGTGGCTCAGGCCTGTAATCCCAGCACCTTGGGAGGCTGAGGTGGGTGGATCACCTGAGGTCAGGAGTTTAAGGTTAGCTTGACAAACATGGTGAAACCCTGTCTCTACAAAAATTAGCCAGGCATGATGGCAGATGCCTATAATCCCAGCTGCTTGAGAGGCTGTAGTGGGAGAATCGCTTGAACCCAGGAGGCAGGGTTGCAGTGAGCTGAGATTGTGCCATTGAACTCCAGCCTGGGTGACAGGGCAAGACTCCATCTCAAAAAATAATAAAATAAAATAAAATAAACCGGGCACAGTGGTTTATGCCTGTAATCCCAACACTTTGAGAGGCCTAGGTGGGCAGATCACGAGGTCAGGAGTTTGAGACCACCCTGGCTAATATGGTGAAACCCTTTCTCTACTAAAAATACAAAAGTTAGCCAGGCGTGGTGGTGAGCATCTATAATCTCAGTTTACTTGGGAGGCTGAGGGAAGAGAATCGCTTGAACTTGGGAGGCGGAGGTGGCAGTGAGCTAAGATTGTGCAGCTGCACTCCAGCCTGGGTGAGAGAGTGAGAGTCCATCTCAATAACTAAATAAATAAAAATAAAAATTGGTTATAGCAGTCACCAAGGGAAGGCAGTCTCCCAACAGATAGCAAACACCTGACACTGGTAATCAACAGCTTCCTGATAAGATCTCAGGAGCTGGGGGATTGGGCTCAAGCATGTGCACTAAGAGGGAAAATGGCAGATTTTAACTGGTATTTGACCTTTCTCTAGCAACACTCAACTGGTAAGGGAAGAACACCTCAAATAAGCATGCACATAACTTTAGTGAACACACTGTGCACGTGGTTCCTCCCCAAGTACTGGCAGGCAACAGCACGAGGACAGCCCACATGGAGGGAAGAATCAGGGGAGGAGGAATGCACACCCCAGAACCATGCCAGTGTATGGTCAGCTGGAGCTCTTGGATCTCTCAAGTCACTCGCTTGGACCTTCTCCAAGTGTAGTTTACTTCCTTGTGTTCCTGCTCTGAAGCTTTTTAATAAACTTTCACTCCTGATCTAAAACTTGCCTCAGTCTGTCACTCGGCCTTATGTCCGGCGGCTGAATGATTTCCTTTGAGGAGGCAAGAATGGAGTTCTGACCCATGGGAGCCACTGCTGCTGACAGTATCAGTAACCACTGTATGAGGCAACAGCACTGGGTCTCTGAAGCAGTGTTGAGTGAGACAAATAGCTGAAGGGGTTAAAACATGGGGTTAGGTTAGAGGCTTGGTGCTGAAGGACTGGGCAGGGTGGCCAACACCTGCAATTCCAGCACTTTGAAAGGCCAAGGCAGAAGGATCACTTGAATCCAGGAGTTTGAGACCAGCCTGGGCAACATAGCAAGACATTGTCTTTACAAAAAATTAAAAAAAAAAAAAAAAAAAAACTTGACTGGGAGAGGTGGCTCATGCTTATAATCCCAGCACTTTGGGAGGCCAAGATAGGCAGATCACCTGAGATCAGGAGTTCAAGACCAACCTGGCCAATATGGTGAAACCCCATATTAACCAGGTGTAGTGGAGTGTGCCTGTAATCCCAGCTACTAAGGAGGCTGAGGCAGAATTGCTTGAACCGGGGAAGCAGAGTTTGCAGTAAGCCAAGACTGTACCATTGCACTCCAGCCTAGGCGACAAGAGCAAAATGCCATCTCAAACCAAAAAAATGAAATTAGCCAGGCATGCTACATTACTATGTATATGCCACAGGCATTAGTGCATGCCTGTGGTCCCAG